CAATACAAAAAAATTAAATAGATAAATAGATAGATGTACCGTCTTAATCCTCAAGTAAATAAAACACCCTCATCTCTGCACTCTCATGCTGATATTATGTGACATATTCAAACCATCACGTGAAAATAAAACATAAGATCACATATAAGGGTCACATTCTACTCTATACATTTAAATATTGTATTTATAGAAAACCAGCTGTGCAGCTTTTTCCCACTGCAACACCGAGTTTTGGGAAAACAGAGGTGAAAGTTTTAGACACCATCAAACTCATCATCCAAGTGGAGCAAGCAGTGTACAAAAGTTTTCTTGTACGAGGACAACATTCTAAACAAAAGAGAAGCACGTGCAATACATGCATCTAGTGTGAAAATTGTAAACAATCTAAATGGTGAAATTAACTGGTTATTCATTTGGATAGAATATTTATAAGTGACAGGGAGGACCAAAACACTGGTAAACAAGCTCATTAAGGCAAGAGCAGGATAAACAGCACTATAAATAAAGGGAATCACCGTTGTGCGTGTGAGCGATCATGAAAACGTACCAACGAGCGCAAGATCGGGCAAGCCTGTGAGTCACCAGCAGCACCCTTGGGAGACCGGGCGGGTGTCGCAGCAATAACCAGCGCACACACAAGGAGTCCCCATAGATCACCCTGGGGAAACCTCAAAGTGTGCTTGTTACTGTCCCTTATCATCACGGGCATCCATCACAACAAGCCGTTGAATTATTCAATGCTACAAAATAAAGGGACATCCTGGGACATGCTTCAGAATAAATGGCCTCATGAAAGATGAAGGAGAAACAGGTAGGACAGGCCAAGTGCGGAATACTATACGGCTTTTATTGTCATGTGACACAGGCACGTGCCGAAGAGGCTCAGGCAGCGTCGGTGCATGTCGTGTGTAGAGAAATGGCTTACGAATGGATGTGAAAGTATGGCGAGGATATTGTAAATGGTAAGTTATTTAAGAGCTTTGCAATGTCCTTACTACTGCAAATAACGGTTACTACTACAACTAGAATTATGTCAAGAGAATGTATTATTCTTCTAAAGTGTTGTCAAGTTTATTTATGTAGCAACATATTCTCAGGTGTTTTCTCGAGTGTAAAATGTGCACTGTGACCAGAATCCAATCTATTTGCAATTGATGTGAGCTCATTTGGATATTATTGTTTTTTTGCTATATCAAAGATGGTGTACCTATTTTTCAAAACAAAAAAAGGACCTATATAATAAAAGTGTTTGGCCTCTGTCACAGATCAGTGAAAAAGAGAGGACCACCCTCACTTAATGTGTCAAATAGTGTTTTTTCTTTTTTCTCACAAAAAGTTTTCTAATGAGCTGCTTCATAAAATGCGTGTCTGTTGGGACAAACAAAACGCATCATTTATGAACAAAAGGGTAGGTACCTCAGCATTAAAAGGGCCTAGATGAATATGGAATAGTGTAGACTGAAAACAACGCTAAAAATGATATGACTCCATTAGAAAGTTCACTGAATCTATGTTTTGTTCCCGTTATAACAAAAATTGATCTGTTTTCTCTTAATTTAAACAATGAAAAGTTACATAAACTGCAGGAAAAATGTGAGAGATATTATACAAATCCCCTCCTCAGAGAGCATCATAGAGAAGCCGGGAAGTGTGCCAAACAATTTTCCTTTAACACAACAACAGCTTGAGAAAAATGACTTTGCTTACTTTGAAAATACTTCTGGAGACGGCGGCAAAGACTTATGACAGAACGGCAAAAAAAAACAACACCAGGGTAGGAACGGTGAGAGAAAAGCAATCATAAGGAGAGTGGAAATGAAAAGACAAAGGCAATAAGGCCCAAGTAAACAGAGGGGCTTATTGAGAGCCGCTACGCACACCCACACACACAATGGAGATGTAGCATATGTCTCCTGCAGGGCCAGCTGGAGACATCTGCTGCCAGAACTCCACAGGTCAAACTAAGTGACACGCTCCCTGATGTGTTGAGAGAGGGATGGAGAGAGGAGGATTGAAATAGAGGAAAAGAAATGTACAGACAGGTATAGGAGTGGGACTGAGGGAAGGGGAGGGATATGGAAAGGTTTGAAAGTTGGTGTAATTAAACATTCATTCATTTTCAAGCCCTTTATTTTCCATTTCTGGGTCAGGGGGGTGGCAATGAGAGCTGCCACCCAATGCTCATAGCACAGGTCCCTCGCTGATCCTCTGCAGGTGGTGAGTCCACAGGAAGATGGCTGCTCTGTCAGTGGTGAAACAGCCTTGGTCTTTCAGCGGGGGCTTCAGGCAACGTAGGGTTAAGTGTCTTGCCCAAGGACACAACGACAGTAGACATCAGTGGGAGCAATTGGAGTAGGTCCCATGGTGGGACTCGAACTCACGACCTCCAGACTCAAAGGCCACTGCTCTACCAACTGAGCTACTGTCGCCCCTGTCGTAATTAAACAACAATGTTTTATCTAAAATCCCTCTGACCATGCATGTAGCCTTATCGCAATAACTGCCATGAAATATATTGTCCACGCAGCATGAAGGTAGAGGGTTTATCCCGTGATACCTGGATCTGGATTTTGCTGTTTTGTGGGTTTCCTCTGGGCGCTCCAGTTTCCCCCACCACCGGAAACATGCACGGCCTGTTCAAGAGCATCAACATGTGGAGATGGGTCCCCACGTGCTGCATTTATAGAGGTCCTAGTAGCATTCAAGGTTGGGTCAAATGTTTCCCAACCGTTGGAAGACCGTAACATGTTTACCAACAACAAAGTGTACTTTAAGCTTAATAAATGGCCAATGGACAAATATACTTTTTATCTTATTTTTATCTTTTTACTAAATTATCTTTTTCAATCGTGGAAAAGATTTGCAACACAATGAAGTTCTACGTATAGAGGGTTGAACATTTTACTTATAAAATGTAAATATAAAAAAAAAAAGACTAATCTAAACATTATGCTCCCAATAAATGATATGTGTGACAGTGGCATTATTTTTAGGAATCAATATATTGCTCATTAACATTTTGTAATTATTTATTATTGTTGATGATAGGTGAATCCTGTTTCAGTCTTCCCTGAAAATGTCCCAGAACCATTTTGAAAACGTAAACTTTTAACAGATTTGTTTAAAGCCTATATCACAAATTAATCACAGTCACAATGGTATACAACACGATTTGTATACCAAAGGTTGTAATTATAAATCCATAATGGTCCTGTGGAAAAAAACAACCACAACACTTGCCTCTAGTGTCAGTTGCTTTTATCCCTTGTCATCGGCTTGTACAAACACAGCCACATCAAATAAACTTGGGGCACATAGGGACAGACTCTTTAATAACACATTTCGCGATGAGGCTTCCACGGCTTCCAGCTCCCAGGATTTCATCATATTTCCAAATAAACAATTCAACACCATCTGTTTTTCATAAGCAGCACTACTTTCAACACTACTTTCCAACAAGGACCGCATATTTCAAAATATTATTGCATCAACACACATGTACTAGATTACACACATGTAATTAACTGCAAATGCTTTAACTGTTTTGAATAGTTTTGTTTTAGATTTATGATAAGATTTACTTCTAGTTCACCAGAATTTAAGGTTGTGTTCGGATCTCATTTTACATCCATAATAAATATCTCCATTGTCAACCTTTTCCTATTTTCTTCTAGCAATATTTTAAGTGGGTCATCTCTCATTATGCTCCCTGTAAATGAAATGCCTAAAAATGATCTTTCATTATAGTGGACATTCTATGGTTCTGTGTTGTAGCACATGTAATTGTATGACGAGTGCTATTTAATATTCTGAATGCAAAAACTTACACATGTAAATTAGATACAGTGCAAACATATTTATATCCTCTAGTATTGGTCTACATTTTCTTGCGACAATCAAATACTCTCAAGTGTGAAAAACATAAAATGTTTTCAATTAAGATGCAGAAAACTTGTGGTCTGTTCTATTCTCTATACTCTTCTGTTGAAAAATGTATAATTCATGAAACAAAAAAGTCAGCAATCCCTGCTTTTAGTAGTGGCAAAATCTTGACACAGCTCTCCCTAATAATTATTTCAACAATGCGTCTATTGCCTTTAATACCTGCCAAGTTTTCACTACTAAAAATGGTGACCATCTGGCATTACTTGCAGGACATTATGGATATTTTTGTAATTTTTTTCTTTTACACACATGCATAAAGACCAAAGTGAGTGGAGGTTGAAAGCTCCGTTGTGGGAGGGCGAGCAGAGAGAGCGAGGCCATCGCTTTCATCCTAAAATGTCTCAAAGTCAGTTAGTGCAGCTTTAAGGGGAACTCTGCCGCAGTGTTGCGTTGTTATGCTTCATGTGTTGGGTCTCGGCGCAAAGACTTTCAATCGAGTTGGAGGGATTTAGTGGCACATACATAAGAAACACTGTGTAAATATAGATTTAATTAAATCTAAAAGTTAATTATTGTTCTGTTTTCCCTGTAGACACAAACAAATATGAACAGCGTGTTTGAATGCTGAATTGTAATGTATTCAAATTTCATGTCTAACAGTCTATTCTTTCTTCTCTCTCTGTTTACGAGAGGAAATAAAGAAAAGAAACCGTTGTTATTAGATTTATAGGCAGACAATCATTCAAAGTGTTTGCACATCAGCGTACGCATACATTTAAGACATGTCATTGAAGCAAACAACAACAAAATCATTCGGCTCTATTAGCATTATGTTAACTAATTTACCAATAATGCTCCTAGTTTATTAGCTTTAACACTGGCTCCTAAGTATATGACACGTGGATTTATATATTATTTAATTACCCATCCAACAAGATAAGTACAGTGGGAGACAAGGTAATGATATGGTGAACAGATTGTGCCATTGTCAAACCTGTCACAGATAAGAAGCAAGACAGGAGAATTTTCTAATGTAAGCCCATGTGCGCCAGCCATGCAGCCGCTAAGAACATTTGCTATAGTCATAATTAAGTAGCGGCCGGGTGTTTGGTGTCATGAGTCGAGACACAAAGACAAAGCTGGTGCTGCCTTCTACGCGGACCCCGTCGGGAGAGGGGCACTGGCCTGTGGGACCGAGCCAGGAGGGGACAGCAGTTTGTGGGTGATAGCAGAGAGGGGCGGGTGGCGCTTCGGACGCCAGAAAGAATTGATTTTACTGTAAATCATTGCACAGGCACAGAAGGATTTTGGTTTCAGACAAATTGGAAGCTTTATACGTTTGGAATATAATAAAAGGCAAAAAAGGCTTGACAAGAATTTGATTTTCTTTTGGATAATGAGATTGAAAGCGGACAAAGGATGGCACAACTTTTTTTTCTCATGTGTTGATTTCAAAGGTCAATTTATACACTTGACAAACTATATTCGACAACCTCAGACTGTACAAACAAGAACAAAGGTTGCAGGTGAACAAACATCAAAGCAAAATATTTTCTGGTCACATATCAGTTTCACTCCACCTCTGTCACAATTCTAAGGTCTCTCTTTCTCAACATATGAGTAGATCTACCTGATACATTGATACATTGCCTTAATAATAAGACAAAAGGGTTCAAGTAAATGACACAAGTTCCACCAACCGAACATTCAAAGCCAAATAAAACTAATTTATTATTCTCTTTAATCCAACGGAAGTAAGACCCTCTGGACAAGGCGCTGTGGGGTAATTAGCGGAGGAGACACTCGCTGGAAGTGTCCCTCGGGTGCATTGTCTCCCTTGAGTGGAGAACATCTGGATCCAGACAAGGACAGGTGCCAGTACACAGCTGCACTTTGGCCCTTTCCACTTTGACGACTTTCTCCAAATTAATGGCTTGGCTTCAGACTGACATAGTGACAGAGTGAAATATGCTTATGCTAATACAGTATGGCCTATCCTCTAATTATGTATGCAACTCTGACATATGAAAGTAAGAAGGCCATTTTTTGTCTTTATAGTGCATATATCTATGTTGAGTGTTGATAAAGGTGATGCCTGCAACAATAAGACCTGAAGTCCAATCTATATTAAGTATTTTTCATGATAAATACACAGTTCCTCCCATTAGCATAAGCCTCACCAGTAGAATTTGCTGGAGAAGAAGAGTTAGACCCTTGGTGAGGAGCCTTAGATGTCTATCAAGTATTTGAATTTATTTCGTCTAATGAAAACTTGTGGGGACAGGCCAATTGGCTCTTGTATTCAAAACGTCTCTTCACTTTAAGAGACTGACTGAAGAAGAATCAACCAGTTTTGATAAAGTAGCATTTACTGCTATCTTATATAGCATTATATATTTTGTGTGCTCCCTGTGTTCTCTTACTAGTGTCCTGTATGTGCGCTGGAACATTGAAATGTCCCGACTGTGGGACGAATAAAGGTCCTCTTATCTAATCTTATCTTAGAATTAAAAAAGGAACAAAAGAACTAGTTTTTTTTTTTTTTTCAGTAAATCATGTTCATGTAATGTAAAAAACTAAAAAAAGATTTGCAAATGTCAAAGTGGTTATCCGGAGTTTTGTGCTTCAAAATATATATTTTTAGATGACAAAAATACTTTTATGTTAACTATTCATTGAGTTTTTTTTATGTAAAATCAGTAGTGCCAAATGTAAAGGTGTGAGTGAACTTGGCAGCACTCTTCAGCTGAACTCCTGCTGAGCCGTGACAGACACCTGCCACCCAAAACAAGCTGAGAGAGGAAGTCAAAACATTATGTGGGGTGGGGGGACTGATGTGTGTGTGTGTGTGTGTGTGTGTGGGAGAAGGGGGGTGGGTCGCGCTTGAACAACAGCTGTTAGGATTGCTGTTTAATAAAATCTGTCACATGCATGCGCTCCCCGGTGCCCCCCGTCGCGTAGACCAAAAGGCGCTGCTGCACGGTGCCCAATAACCCACATCAGAGTGAGCCGTCGCGGGCCCCCTGAGACCACCTTACCCCCGTGCCAGCTTATAGACAACCCCCCCCCACCGCCACTACCACCACGCTCCCGCCTCCACATGCCCCCCGGCGCACCGTCTGTGTCTGAGGGTCTGCGATCGCTGCTTATGTGCTCATATGTTTAGAGCAGGAGCAAACGTTTGATACAGTAGAAGGATAAGAAACCGGTCATGTAAAACATTTTTGCTTTTGTCTGCGATATAATTCATGTAAATCTCATCTATGACCTGTTTGTGTATCTTTTGTATTCAAGCATAATTTTGATTTTTTAATGAATATACAGGTATGAAGTCCAGTGGCGTCTATGTAGAAAACAACAGTTCTGTTTTATACCCACACAACATTGAGAAAAATATTGTTTTTGTTGCTGAATTATTCATTATTACAGATTGAAGCAAGAATAAGTAACTTTTGAAATCACAATAAATAAACTATAAAATAAATTCCTCTCTCCTCTGGTTCTCAGTTTTCAAATCCATGTATCTTTAGAAAGAGAGTAACCGACCCGCACTCAGCCAATCAGGTCCCATTATGATATGAAAAGATAACATAAGTTAAAGACAGCAACTAGTGGTGTGATCTGTTACTTCGACAAGACTTTCTGTTGGAACAAACAAAATGTATTTATGAAACATAAAAATATCAAGGTTAGGTTCAGTAAAAAAACAAGCTAAAGGAAAATTGTGACCTATTCCTTAGTAGAAACTATTAAACTCTTAAACGTCGATTTTGTACAACGACTACCAAGAAGTAATGAATAAAATGCACTACAGCAAGTACTTTACATTATTAATGGAGGGGAAAGGCACAAATTATAGGCATGTTTTCCCACTCAAGTCGCCATTGAGTGCATGGCTACACTCAGGCCAAGCGTCTATGCGGCTGTGTGTCTGTCTGCTGCTGTGGTGGGAGGGAAGGGGAACTCATCAGATAAGCCACCTCATTTGGGCCGCTTCAAGAAGACTGAAAGGAGCTGTGGGGAGGCTTTCATCTCCGAGACGGCAAAAAAGGGACAGAATCAAGATGGAGGGAGTGCGAGAGAGGATGGGAAGGCAGGAGAGGCCTGAGGAGAAGAGCCCTCGGATAAAGAATGAAAGAGATAATCCAAGAGGATGTTTACCTTAGTCATGCTGACACAGGACAAAGAGGGCCACTAATATGTGCTGCCCCCTACAGGGTCGCAGGATATTGAGCGTCCAGAAGGAGAAAGGCGAAGAAAGTTTATAGAAGAACCAACGGCAAAGCGACAGGGTGAGAGGCGTCACAGACAAACCGCTTAATTAAACATGAGCCTATTGCCTCCGCGCGCAAGTCTGGATATCCGAGTGCATTCATCTTCTCTTCATGGAAAGCACAAGTAGGCTATTTGCAAGTCAGATTCGGCATTTAATGACACGGGAAATCATCTGAATTTATTGAAAGCCGGCATGGAAAAGGGAATGAAGCTTGTTCAACTTTCAGATCAAAAATGCATAAAATTGCCACCACTCTTCGGCAGGGAATAGCTGGTGATTTTAAATGATGAGACATGTGGAGGTGAATAAGAGGCAGGATCGTAGCTCGGGGCTCCCTTGGCTCTGTGCTTGATACAGACGGGGATTGAGTTAAAATAATCCTCCTCCGAAAATGTATAAAAGAGGACTACATCAGAATGTTGAATAACACATGTACTTAAAGGCACACCGTGTAACTCTTGGCCACTAGGGGTGCTAGACCTGCAACTTTCACGTTTAGCGCCCCTAGTGGCCACAAGCAACTCAGCACTGTCGCAAAAGTCAACAAACAGTCAGCCGGTGTCTTTTGAGTGTGTATTCAGACAGCATGCACTGGTGTGTGTGTTCAAACTGTAGAGACATGCCTACAGATATTGAGAGACTCTGCTGTGGTCAGCCTCCAGACCGCTGCATTAGTAATCTACCACACATGGACTTCTATATCCTGGATGAGGGAGTTCTGCGTCTAGCTCGTGCTGCGTGGAATGACATCTTTGCAGTCGATGACATCCAGGAACCAGGTGAAGAGCAGCGCTCATACAGACATGCAGCTTACAGCACGATCCCTTTCGCGTTTCCTCTTTTTAGCCTCCTCCGAAGGTTTAAAATTTTTCCTTGCCTCAGCCATGACCAGGAGTCGAGCAGGTGAAAAATGAGTAGCAAAAGCCTTAGCTCCATGAGTATATCAGCGCCTGTAGCCGTAAAGCAAGTCTTTCTTCCAAGTCACGTGACCTGGTGGCAGACGGTCCGTCTGCTCGAAACTTACATGGGCGGTATTTCAAGAGGGCAGCCCCGCTCGGAGCATTGCAAGTGTCAAGCGCTGTATATTGGCCCAAGTATTCATATAAAATAACTCATATGTGTCAACTCTTTAGGTCACAAAGTCCGCGGTGTGCCTTTAACTGTAAAGTCAGCTCAAGGTCACAAGACGCTGATTCACAGTATGAGTTAGGAAGGAATGAACCATATGACACAAAAGGTTATCAGTTTGAACCTTTAGAGTGTAGAAGGTGATGCCGTATTATTTACCTTTTTGCAGGAGGTGCTGATTAGAATAGCCTCGTTGAGCTGGAATCTGAACCAGATGTAAGTACCAAGGACCTAATCAGAGCTAATGATTTCTCGCTTAAGCTACTTGCTGGCCGAAGCCAAATTTGGGGGTAGATGATACCTGATTGATCAGTTGTTATGGGACAAATTATAAACACCATTATTATAGAGAGGGGAAAACATATTGAGTTTTGAGCCCAACATGGTGAGTATGACAAAGTCCATTAAAATCCATCAATAATGGATTTTAATTTATAATATACAGTCTATATTTGAACCCCATCACAACAGTGGTGCGAATCCATCTGGAGTCCAAATAAATGAGATGCAGTGAAGAAAACAGCAGAACAACGTGTATATGAGAATTCTAATGTTTATGTCTTTCTATAGAATTCAAATGCTCTATTTTCAACTTAAATACTGGCAAAGTTTAAAAAGGTTTAACCACACCGACATAAAGCACTGCCAAAACTAAAAATGCATGCGCATCAAGGACAGTGAATATCCAATTAATAGTAAACATTACGTCCACAAGCGGAGCTGTTAAAGCGCTCTCCCATGGCAACGCGCTTGTCAAAGCTCTCTGTTGCCAAGAGAGTATTACACTGGAAAAGTCTCTAAATGAAAGAAGGAAAAGAATAACCACATAATAGGAGTGAGGTGTGTGTGTTTGTTACGGTCTGCAGCCATCATGCTAATTGGGAATAAACAGAAGCTCCTTGTTTAGAGGGCATCAAATCAAGCTCCTATCTGCTGAACGGAAATGATTTCAGTGGAACTGAACAGTCAACTCTCAGGCCCAGCTGTGAGGGTCCTGGTTAGAACTTTCTTGCATCATATACATTTTACGGTCATCTAAATAGACGTTTTTACTTCTTGTTTCATTTATCCTTTTTCAAATTGTACCTTGATTTGAAAAAGACTATTTTAAATGGCTTTGACTTAGACTTCTTGACCAGGAAGTAAGCTATGCTGTTTTTCTCCAGCCTTCATTAGAAAAGTTTCTTTTTGTAAACATGTTTGGACAATTTGCTAATAGCATAGTTTTAGGTGATTTTGCATTATAGTATTGAAATAAAAATAAAAACAGTAAAAACGTTTTCACATTTAAAGGCAAATATCAATATATCTTCGCTTTAGATTATGAAAGTGCGTCAATGACCGATGTCTGCATAAATTGTGGAAAAACTCAGCGTATGTGATGGTGTGGATGTTGCTGAGTCCCACCAAAATATCTCTAATGACTAATCTAAAATCAGGTGGACTGTAGCCTTTGTATTAACACAAAGGGGGGTAATTACGGTCGATCTCACAGTCACAACAATAGATTCCTGGACACACAAACAAACCACAACTCAATGCACCTTAACTCAATATACTAATTCCACTTCCTGGATGAGATGAGTCAAAAATCCATAATATTTTTGAAAGGGGAAAACAGTAATTAAAATATAAACAAACACAAATCCAAAAATCAATACGTATTTTGTCATTTGCATCAATGCTTTCACTTGCTATTCATTTCAACTGTACGGTGCTTACTGTCAATTTGCATAATCATTACTTTTCAAACAAACACGCAGCCAGGCAGATGTGGAGCCAGGCAGATGGATTTGCCCCGAGAGAGAGACGCGGTGCTGCCGGTGGAGAGGCGCAGACTTGTAGATCTCATTACGATTAATATAGTGGGACAGGAAAAGCAACAATAAAGAGGAGAGAGACAGGAAAAGAGAGATACGGAGTGAGAGTGAGTGAGAGTGAGAGAGGTGCAGCTATAATGGGATCAATAGTCAGGGCATGAACGTGGGGTCAGAGCCGTGTCCATGGTGACCCGCCATGTACCGGAGCAATGAGTCACTGCGGGAGTCATCTGTCCATCGCTCTCCCTCTCTCTGTCCTCGTCACAGTCATTGTGGATCATTGCTGCTATATATGTAAGCTGTAACGGCCTCTTTATTATCAGCTTCTGCTTTCTGTTTTCAAGCATTTATGAAGCAGATATGAGTAAAAGACAACTGGATGAGGAAAAGCACACAAACATCAAAGCATGCTGTCTAATCTATCTAATGTTGCACTCACACTTTACATATAAACACTTTCACTAGGACTATCAATTAGAAAACGACTAAATTGCATGAACATTGTATAATTATTTCCTGCACAGAATATATTTTTAACCTTAACATTTTGGATATTTCATGACACTTAACTTTGGTTAAAGTTCTAACTTGTCATTCTAACAAAATGCACGAGGCAGTACTTTTCCTCTGCATGTTTTGATTTCTGAAGGCCAAGCTACTGGCACTGTGGCAAATGCTGATTGGAGGACTCCATTTCTCCATGCTGTATATTATGAGCATTAGGTAGCTATATGGCCTACATGGTGGACAACTGCAAGACTATACAAGGACTCTGATTGTGCATCCATGTTATGACTATGATATGCTCTGAGTGTCTGAGTGACACGTACTGTTTTTCGATGTGTGACGTAACAATGACTATATAAATCATGCCCTGCATTTGTTCTGTCTGAAAAAACCTGAGAATAACTGAGCCAACTGAAAAAACTGCTCTGTCTGAATCAACTGCCATTTTTGTGAATAAACAACCACACCATGATGCACAGGATCCCGTTTGGTCTGAGTCTGATTCTCAACAATATTATCACTTGTAGTCTGTAACCTCTTTTTTTGTGCTGTCTCTACCAACGACAATAAAACATGTCTTCTGTCTGAATTAAAGACACAATCCCAGACTTTGTCATCTTCTTAAACATGTTGCACACTTCTGCCTCTTGCACAATCTGAGCAATTCTATCCCTGCCAAATGTGACATGAAAATTTCTCCAGTGTGAGATCAGTAAAGTCCATCTTATCTTATCTTATGAACACTAAAAAGTATTCTTCAGAACATTCTCAATGGATATAGATACATTTTATGCCATAATGTAGAAGACTGTAGCCAAGATCAGTATTTTCTGCAAGCCTGCTTAATGTGAACAGCTTTAACTGCAGAATAATTTCACACCAAATAAGGATTATACTTTTTTGTTAGCTTGTTGTATTGGTTGAATGTTGATGTGTCTGTTTTGTTGGCTTTAATAAAGGAAAAATTCAAAATATGTATATATATATATTTTTTAAATTGTGCATCTTTTTGATATGGATATCGCACGCACCAATATCGCGATAACGATCATTTTTTGATATATCGTGCAGCCTTAATATATATCCATGTAAAACATACATATATATATATATATATATATATATATATATATATATATATATATATATATATATATATATATATATATATATATATATATATATATATATATATATAGTGAAGAAATTACACAGAAGATGTTTTATCCTCATTGTGATGTGTGTCTGTTTTAGCAGCTGTTAAATGTCATTTTACTCATTCAAACTGAAACCTGGCATGTGTGTTGACTGTGTCCATGACTGTGTTGGCATGTCACAAGTCATTGCATTAAAAACTACGGATGTGTCTTATTTTAG